GGGGAGGCGCTTGGAACTGCTCGCCCCTGCAGCAAGGGAAAGCTATTGACCATTATACGCAGATGAGATAGGACTTGTGGGGATTTGACGATTTGACCTGGGAAATCTAATGGCACATGGGTGCAGCAAGGGAAAAATAGTCACCACTAAAAGCAGGTGAGGTACGACTTGTGGAGATTTGACCTGGGAAATCTAGTGGCGCATGGATGCGGCAAGGGAAAAATAACGAGCACTAAGAGCAGATGAGATAGGACTTGTGGGGATTTGACCTCGAAAGTCTAACTGTCACATGGGTGCAGCAAGGGAAAGCTATTGACCACTAAAAGCAGATGAGATAGGACTTGTGGGGATTTGACGATTTGACATGGGAAATCTAATGGCACATGGGTGTAGCAAGGGAAAAACCTTGACCACTAAAAGCAGGTGAGATAGGACTTGTGGGGGTTGACCCGGAAAATCTAATGGCACATGGGTGTAACTAGGCAAAACGATGGGCCACTGAACGCACGTGAGATAGGAGTTTTTTTTTCTAGAACCATTGTAATTTCCTATCTCATCAGCCTTTGCTGCTGTCACAAAACATGAAGCCCCGATCATTTATCAAGGTGTTTTTTAGACTTGCATTCAGGTCTCAGAGGGGGTTCAGCGCACATGAGTTGAGAGTTTTGGCGAATCCCAGGTACCAAAACTCCTAACTCATGTGGCTATTCTAGCCAATTCCCCATAAGCGCTTCAAACAGTGGACACAAGAGATAGGACTAGACCCCAGCAAGTCCTAACTCACCCGGGGCCACAAGTCCTAACTCATCAGTACCCAGTATATGTGATTTTTACTTGATAAGACATTTTATATTATGCATATATAGTACTTATATAATATTTTATATTCTGTAATATTAAGTACCATAGAATTATGATTAATTATGCAATATGAAATATATCAGATATATTACGAAAGCCAGTCGGGAAGCTCGCTAATTGCTATTTGCGAACGAAGTGAGAATAGGGGGTCTGGGGGGGGTATCTGTGTCAAGGGGCCGAAAAACGGCGTAAATAGGTGATGTTTTAGGGTCACGCAAAGTATGGTTTTGCAGGGTAATGTACCAGGCGGCAAAACAGTGACGGTGTCCGGTTTTCTGGGGTTTTCTGGGTTCAGTCAATGGACAGATAGATGGGCCAGCTAGTTAGAGGAGATTGGAGAGAGAAGGACATTGGGTGAAAAGTATGTGCAAGAAGGGTTTCTGGGTGAAGAGTCTCTGGGTGAAAAGTATGTGCAAGAAGAGTTTCTGGGTGAAGAGTCTCTGGGTGAAGAGTCTGTGCAAGAAGAGTTTCTGGGTGAAGAGTCTCTGGGTGAAGTATATGGGTGAAAAGTATGTGCAAGAAGAGTTTCTGGGTGAAAAGTATATGAGTGAAAAGTATGTGCAAGAAGAGTTTCTGGGTGAAGAGTCTCTGGGTGAAAAGTATATCAGTGAAAAGTATGTGCAAGAAGAGTTTCTGGGTGAAGAGTCTCTGGGTGAAAAGATTATGGGTGAAAAGTATGTGGGTAAAGAGCCTTTGGGTGAAGAGTCTGTGCAAGAAGGGTTTCTGGGTGAAGAGTCTCTGGGTGAAAACTATGTACAAGAAGAGTTTCTGGATGAAGAGTCTCTGGATGAAAAGTACACGGGTGAAAAGTATGTGCAAGAAGAGTTTCTGGGTGAAGAGTGTCTGGGTGAAAAGTATATGGGTGAAAAGTATGTGCAAGTAGAGTTTCTGGGCGAAAAGTCTGTGCAAGAAGAGTTTCTGGGTGAAGAGTTTCTGGGTGAAGAGTCTCTGGGTGAAAAGTATATGGGTGAAAAGTATGTGCAAGAAGGGTTTCTGGGTGAAGAGTCTGTGGGTGAAAAGTCTATGGGTGAAAAGTATGTACAAGAAGAGTTTCTGGATGAAGAGTCTCTGGATGAAAAGTATATTGGTGAAAAGTATGTGCAAGAAGAGTTTCTGGTTGAAAAGTCTATGCAAGAAGAGTTTCTGGGTGAAGAGTCTCTGGGTGAAAAGTATATGGGTGAAAAGTATGTGCAAGAAGGGTTTCTGGGTGAAGAGTCTGTGGGTGAAAAGTCTATGTGTGAAAAGTATGTGCAAGAAGAGTTTCTGGGTGAAAAGTCTCTGGGTGAAAAGTATATTGGTGAAGAGTATTTGCAAGAAGGGTTCTGGGTGAAGAGTCTCTGGGTGAAAAGTATATGGGTGAAAAGTATGTGCAAGAAGAGTTTCTGGGTGAAGAGTCTCTGGATGAAAAGTATATGAGTGAAAAGTATGTGCAAGAAGCGTTTCTGGGTGAAGAGTCTCGGGGTGAAAAGTATATGGGTGAAAAGTATATGGGTGAAGAGTATGTGCAAGAAGAGTTTCTGGGTGAAGAGTCTTGGTGAAAAGTATACCAGTGAAAAGTATGTGCAAGAAGAGTTTCTGGGCGAAGAGTCTCTGGGTGAAAAGTATATGAGTGAAAAGTATGTGCAAGAAGAGTTTCCGGGTGAAGAGTCTCTGGGTGAAAAGTATATGGTTGAAAAGTATGTGCAAGAAGAGTCTCTGGCTGAAAAGTATATGGGTGAAATGTTTGTGCAAGAAGAGTTTCTGGGTGAAGAGCCTTTGGGTGAAAAGTTTATGAGTGAAAAGTATGCGCAAGAAGAGTTTCTGGGTGAAGAGTCTCTGGGTGAAAAGTATATGAGTGAAAAGTATGTGCAAGAAGCGTTTCTGGGTGAAGAGTTTCCTGGGTGAAAAATCTGTGCAAGAAGAGTTTCTGGGTGAAGAGTCTCTGGGTGAAAAGTATATGGGTGAAAAGTATGTGCAAGAAGAGTTTCTGGGTGAAGAGTCTCTGGGTGAAGAGTATATGGGTGAAAAGTATGTGCAAGAAGAGTTGCTGGGTGAAGAGTCCCTGGGTGAAAAGTATATGGGTGAAAAGTATGTGCAAGAAGAGTTTCTGGGTGAAGAGTTCTGGGTAAAAAGTATATGGGCGAAAAGTATGTGCAAGAAGAGTCTCTGGGTGAAAAGTCTGTGCAAGGAGAGTTTCTGGGTGAAAAATCTCTGGGTGAAAAGTGTATGGGCGAACTGATGTGCAAGAAGAGTTTCTGGGTGAAGAGTCTCTGGGTGAAAAGTATATGGGTGAAAAGCGTGTGCAAGAAGAGTTTCTGTGTGAAGAGTCTCTGGGTGAAACGTATATTGGTGAAATGTATGTGCAAGAAGAGTTTCTGGGTGAAGAGTCTCTGGGTGAAAAGTATATGGTTGAAAAGTCTGTGCAAGAAGAGTTTCTGGGTGAAGAGCCTCTGGGTGAAAGGTATATGGGTGAAAAGTATGTGCAAGAAGAGTTTCTGGGTGAAGAGTCTCTGGGTGAAAAGTATCTGGGTGAAAAGTATGTGCAAGAAGAGTTTCTGGGTGAAGAGTCTCTGGGTGAAAAGTATATGGGTGAAAAGTATGTGCAAGAAGAGTTTCTGGGTGAAGAGTCTCTGGGTGAAAAGATGTGAAAAGTATATGGGTGAAAAGTATGTGCAAGAAGAGTCTCTAGGTGAAAAGTATATGGGTGAAAAGTATGTGCAAGAAGAGTTTCTGGGTGAAGAGTCTCTGGGTGAAAAGTATGTGCAAGAAAGTTTCTGGGTGAAGAGTCTCTGGGTTAAAAGTATATGGGTGAAAAGTATGTGCAAGAAGAGTTTCTGGGTGAAGAGTCTCTGGGTGAAAAGTATATGGGTGAAAAGTATGTGCAAGAAGAGTTTTGGGTGAAGAGTCTATGAGTGAAAAGTATGTGGGTGAAAAGTATTTGTAAGAAGAGTTTCTGGGTGAAGAGTCTCTGGGTGAAAAGTTTATGCGTGAAAAGTATGTGCAAGTAGAGTTTCTGGGCGAAAAGTCTGTGCAAGAAGAGTTTCTGGGTGAAGAGTCTCTGGGTGAAAAGTCTATGGGTGAAAAGTATGTGCAAGAAGAGTTTCTGGGTGAAGAGTCTCTGGGTGAAAAGTATATCGGTGAAAAGTATGTGCAAGAAGGGTTTCTGGGTGAAGAGTCTCTGGGTGAAAATTTGGGGGAAAATAGGGGTAGATGGGATGCTGGCTTTCGTTCCCCCCTTCTCAGGTGGGACGATAGGCACATTCTGTCAATTTACTTGTGCTGGACGAAATATGATATAATATGACGAAATAATCTAACGTAATCTATATATAATATTATAACTCTTTCCATCCAACGTCCGAAACTCAAAGTCAAAGTCACCTGAAGCGCGTTGGCCCCACTGGACGAAAGAAACCCAAACCTAACGCCACACTTGGTAGCACCGCTCTGAAATATTGAGATTTTGGCGGTCGGGCGGGGTTGTCGTAAAATGCATTTCAAAGTGTGAATGTTTTGTTTGTCTACTGCATTGCCTCGGCGGACAAAAGCAAAACCACCTCCTGTTTTGACTATACCCTTGGAATCCGATGGATTTAGGGAAAACATACCATGAGCTGACGAACACATCAATGTCAATGAGCTGACTACTTGCACTTGGAACAAGAGAACCAGCAGCTGGTAACGCTACAGCCCCAGGAGCCCGTTGGAGTGAAAACAAGGGTAACCTGCAACTCAGGCATACTTGGGCAGCAATAAATATTGTATCACGTTGCAGTACATGAATGCCGGTAACAAAATCTACCACCTGGTATTCCCGTAACTAACTTGATCGACCAAGCACCCAAACCTGTACGAGGTTGATTTCGCCTCGCGAAACTCTTGGTTTGATTTATATACTTTGTGACTTCCACTGGGCTGCATGGATCCAGATGCAAGCTTGGCTTGCAGAGCCAGGTTGTTCCTCATGTGTTTTGTTTCATTTTTTTAAGTGTCTTGTGCAAGCCAGGCCTTTGGTTGTTTCCTGAACAGGATCTGTGTTTTGTTTACTTTTTTTCGTTTTGCACCCTCACATACCCTCACCTCACCTTATTGATTTGCATCTATTCTGCTTGAGCATCATTTGGTTGGCATTGACATCTATTACGCACTGACCCTTGCAGCCATTGGGCGCTTCGACCTCGCCTACAAGCCGCCACAGCCTCGACAAGTGACCAGCGCTTCTTCATATCATCTTTATACATTTTTTACATTCAAGATCATTCAAGCAAGTATCATCACACTTACATCTGACTTGATAAACTCTGATGTTCCTTTCTCTACGCACCAATCGAATGGTTGTCACTGTGTGTGTTTTTGACCATTCGCAATTCCCGCAGACCTTACATCAGAATCATCCCATGCATCATCGCACAGACCTCAAATAATCTCATATCCGTGCCGGGGGGTACTGAAGACAGCGGGTTGTCCCAGGAGATGACGATGCATTTGATTCTGCTCAAGCCTCAGCTGTAACCGCGACGACGGCCAAATCAAAATATAAAATAATATTCAATAGTATTAAGTGATATCAAAACTAAAAATTCTCATTTTTTGTTTTGGATAAGATTAGTAAATCTAAACTGTTGCAAGTCTTGAGGCGCCTTAAGACACCCCGCCAAACATGTTACGACTTGTAACTCACATGTGCGATCATCCGAAATTAGAATGACAATTGAAGGAATCTCCTCCAGGTACCGAAGACAAGAGTCAGGCATCCGCCAAGGATGCCCCCTGTCACCCTTCATATTTGTAGTTCTTATGGGGGCTCTCTTTCAAAATCTTTCAAGATCTCAAATCCAAACCCAACACACCAAAAAAAAAACTGGAACCCATGAAAGGCATACGATATGCAGAAGTCCTCTACGCAGATGATACTTTGATTTTTGGGACATACTGTCACATACTCAATCAATCATTTTTTTTGCACGCAATATAGCAAGAATCCTCATACTACAATCTGAATTTGAATTATGACAAATGCATAAACCTTACGCTCCACCAGAAACAATCTAGCGTCAAATATCTGGATCGTCCCCCGAAAACATGAAGCAATATATTTGGGAACGCTGCTTTCAGATAGTGCAAATAACCAACGAGAAGTGCTTAACAGATTGGCAGCGGCAATGGCAATGGCGACACGTAATAGGTTGAAAGTGTTTTGGGACAAAGCTCATACCACCATCAAGTGGTAAATCCGTGTTTTTGATTCAATCTTGAAAAGCAAAGTATTGTAGGGACTCGAATGCATAGAACTCACAACATCAGATAAGGATGAAATTCATGCTTTTCAAATGAAGGGTTTGTGACGAATTCTCAAGATTCCGCCCACATTCATTGACCGTTCATACACGAATCAGAAAGCCTTTGAAACTCCCAAAAACAATTTTGACTCTGAAGTTGAACTCTTCTCCAGGACATGGTTAAAGCATGTTAAAGCGTAAGTTGAAACTTTTTGGCCACGTTTTAAGAACAAACCCAGACGATCCGTTGCGGCAAGTGCTGTTTGAATACAATTCCTACACGCCCCGCATAGAACATCGAAGACCCGGAAAACCTCGAACTTCCTGGCTACTACAATCCTTCAAAGATGCTTTTGGGATGCTAGGACGCAATCCCTCACCGAATGCACATCCTGACTCAGGTCAGGGTGAATGTTATAGGTTGATTCGCTTGTTTGTTCCTTAAACAGTTCGCTAGCTAACATATTATTCGTTCACCTTAACTTTTTTGACATTTTTTAACTGAGACAATGGTTCCCGGTTCTGCTGCGCTAAATGTCGCTTCGCGACGTGCAGAAATATATCACCATATTGTACAGTCAGGTGAGCCCAATGCATTCCCTGCATACTCTGCATATTTTGCCTCAAGTGGAAAAGGCGCTCCGTAGCGCTCAGGTTTGTAAGTATATAGATAGTTTTGCATGGTAGGGCTGCTCCTATAAAATGGAAACCCGACCCAACCCCTCTATAGAATAGTTCCCAAGTATGTTCTTTTGTGGAATGGTTCCAGCCCAGATGCAAAAAGTGAAACCAAACTTAAGGCATTGCAAACCCAGTTTTCTATTCTATAGGGGGTCTTTTTCCTCATTACTTGGAGGTTTTCATTTTATAGCGGATTATATGTTAGAAGCAGTGGCCAGTATGAGGCTGGGTTTTCATTTTATAGGAGTGGCAGGAGGCTGTTGGCTTGGTAGGGTTTTTATTCTATAGAGAAAATCACCCCCCCTTGGTCCTGGGTCGTTTTAGTCCCTATAGAATCGAACCCCCAGGTTTGGTCCGAATTCCAACAGGGATCCTAGGGGAACATGGAAGCTTGATTTTACAGCACCCATTATTTCTAGAGAGCCTATTTCGTATGTGTTGGAAACATGTCATACTCGATAGGTCCTACTTTTCTAGAGAAAAATCGGAGTTTGCAAGCAAATTTCCGCATGACATTGAGAAGTCAGATTGAGGTTTTCTAGTGGACCCAGGTTTTCAAGAGCTGTTCAACACTGCAACACTGAGGAGTCAGATTATGATTTTCTTTTGGGTCCTGGTTTTTTAGAGGTGCCTAGCAACGGTAGCCAATAGTGCAACAGGCAAACTCCAGTCTAGAATTTTCTAAAAGTCATCTATGAGGGACCCCCTCCCACCAGCACAGTATCCAAATATATACAAATGCCTTGGAAATGATTTTCTAGAAGTTTCCTTGCTAGCCCTTTCCCTGAGCTGCATCATGTGGCTTCATCCTGGTATTTAGGCTGACAGCGATGTGGGAGAACCCAGCGAAGTGGATCCAGCAGGGGAACTCAAGGCAAAGAGTGCTTGCGCGACGAAATAATATGCAGATCCTTCTAGTAAAAAAGAAAAGAAATTGTCAATGGTTGAAAGTAACTCATGCATACTCATGCATTAAGTAGTACGGCACAAGGCGGTGGCGGAAGTTTCGAAAATAGGAAACCTATAGGAAGGGTTGGTTGTTGTGACTCACGGATGGCAGAGCGAATCCACTGGACCAAAAGGTGGTTGGAGTTCTGATTTCTGGAGTGGTTACAATGGTTGCAGTGGTCACCTCACCACAACTGCTGGATGTAGTGTTGTTTAGTGCAGTTGTAGTTGTAGTTGTATTTGTGGTGTAGTGGAGTTGTAGTTGTAAGTTGTAGTTGTAATGTAATGTAATTAGTGTAGTGTAGTTGTAGTTGCAGTTTTACTTGTGGTGTGGTGTAATTAGTGTAGTGTATTGTAGTGTACTGTAGATACTGTAGATGTATTGTGTAATGTAACGTGGTAAGTATAGTGTAGTGTAGTCTAGCGTATTGTAGTTGTAGTTGTAGTGTAGTGTCGTGTAGAGCAATGTAATGGTAGTTGCAGTTGTAGCGCGATGTAGTGTAATTAGTGTAGTGTAGTGTAATTAGATGTAATTAGCGTAGTGTAGTGTAATTAGTGTTGTGTAATGTAGCGTAGTATATGTGCACTTGTAGTTGTAGTAGTAGTGTAGTGTGGTGGTACTTGTCGAAGGAAGTTTAGAAGGCAAACTTCCGACAATATGGACAGATGAAGAGCAGAGGTCAGAGAAGAGAAGAAAAGAGAAGAAGAAAGAGAAAGAGTCAGAAGAAGAAGATCCAGGTGCGCGAAAAGGTACGAAAGTTGCGAAACACTGTGTTTTCCAGTGATTTGTGGCCCCGCAGGGTCGAAAAGTAGGCTCGCTAAAGCGGCGGGTGCGCAGCCAGCTGGCCAGATCAGAAATAAAAAATTGTACGCCGTTTTGGCGCGAAGCACATTTCGAAGTCAAAATGTACAAAACACTCCAGGTCCGGACCACTTTTGGAAGTTGAGATGTCGAAAAAGTGCATGCCGCTGCGGTGCGAAGCACATTCGCAAGTGAAAAAGCTAAAAACACCTCACTTTCGGAACACTTTTCGAAGTTGCGATGTCGAAAAAGTGCACGCCGTTGTGGCGCGAAGCACATGTCGAAGTCAAAATGTGAAAATCACCACATGCTGACGTTCAGATGTGGTTTCGCCTGGCAGGCGCACGGGATTGCGCACCTTGTCAAAAGTGAGCAAAATGTGAGGGTTTTGTAGTATTTCCAAAAACGATGCGATGGCAGGCGTGGGAAATTTGAGGAAGATCTGCAAAGATGCATTTTCCGTGGCAGGCGCAGTAGAAGAGACATGCTTATCAGTACAAAAGGTCCGGGCGCTGATTTCCTGAGAGGGGTTTGATTTTGGAGCATCAGATCTTCAGGTTTGCTGAGATGTTTTTTTGTGACAGGTGCAGCACTTTGTATGACCCAGTAGTTTAGACAGGTGAAGTGGAAAAAATCGCAAAACGCATTGGTACGAGGCCGTCACCTCTGCACTCAACTTTCCATTTTGAAGGAAGTCTCGCAGAATTGCTTCGTTTTTGATGTTGTCAACTGCGAAAATTGAGGAAGTCTCCCAGAATTGCTTCGTTTTTGATGTTGTCATGTTCGAAAATTGAGGAAGTCTCGCTGAATTGCTTTGTTTTCAAGCTTGCAAATAGACAGATAGATAGACAGACAGACAGATAGATAGATAGATACATAGATAGATAGATAGATACATAGATAGATAGATAGATCGATAGATCGATAGATAGATAGATAGATCGATAGATCGATGGATCGATGGATCGATGGATAGATGGATAGATGGATAGATGGATGGATGGATAGATAGATAGATAGGTAGATAGGTAGGTAGGTAGATAGTCAGAGAAAGAGAGAGAAAGAGAGAGAAAGAGAGAGGAAGAGAGAGAAAGAGAGGAGACCTCAAGCACCTTTCGGTCCATCAGTGGATTCGCTCTGCCATCCGTGATTCACAACAACCAACCTCTCCTATAGGTTTCCTATTTCTGAAACTTCCCTTGTACTACTGTTTAGTTGTAGTTGCAGTTGTAGTTGTAGTTGTAGTTGTCTATCTATCTATCTGTCGACCTGCAAGCTTGAAAACGAAGCTATTCTGCGAGATTCGTCAGTTTTTGAACTTGACAGCATCAAAAACGCAGCAATTCAGCGAGACTTCCTCAATTTTCGAACATGACAACATCAAAAACGAAGCAATTCTGCGAGACTTCCTCAATTTTCGCAGTTGACAACATCAAAAACGAAGCAATTCTGCGAGACTTCCTTCAAAATGGAAAGTTGAGTGCAGAGGTGACGGCCTCGTACCAATGCGTTTTGCGATTTTTTCCACTTCACCTGTCTAAAGTATTGCGCTTGCCACGAAAAAGTGAGGCCAGGTCATACGAAGTGCTGCACCTGTCACGCAAAAACATCTCAGCAAACCTGAAGATTTGATGCTCCAAGATGCAACCCGTCTCAGGAAATCAGCGCCCGGACCTCTTGTACTGATAAGCATGTCTCTTGTACTGCGCCTGCCACGGAAAATGCATCTTTGCAGATCTTCCTCAAATTTCCCACGCCTGCCATCGTTTTTGGAAATGCCACAAAACCCTGACGTTTTGCTCACTTTTGACAAGGTGCGCAATCCCGTGCGCCTGCCACCCGAAACCACATCTGAACGTCCAAAAGTGGTCCAAACATGTAGTGCTTTGAACATTTTGACTTCGAAATGTTCAAAGCACCACAACGGCGTGCACTTTTTCGACATCTAAACTTCGTCCGAACATGTTGTGCTTTGAACACTTTGACTTCGAAATGTGCTTCGCGCCACAACGGCGTGCACTTTTTCGACGGCCCAACTTCTAAAAGTGCTCCGGAGCTGATGTGCTTTGTACATTTTGACTTGGAAATGTGTTTCGCGCCACAACGGCGTGCAATTTTTTATCTCTCATCTGGCCTGGCTCCGCACCCGCCGCTTTAGCAAGCCTACTTTTCGATCCTCCGGAGCCACAAATCATCGGAAAAACGCAGTGTTTCGCGACTTTCTTACCTTTTCGGAACCTGGATCTTCTTTCTTCTTCTCTTTTCTGACTCTTCCCATCTCTGCTTTCATCTGTCCATATTGTCGGAAGTGTGACTTCTAAACTTCCTTCGATCATATTTCGATCACGAGTGTCGTTGGATACTAAACTGAAGGAGAGCCAAGAGGTGTAACGTATGCGCCATACAAGGTGCAATTCCGTGGGTTGCTTGGTTTTGCCGAACCTGGAAGCCAAACAAGTGGGTACGGTATAGACTCACACTACAACCCGAAAAACTTCACAAACAAAACCACCAAGGCATAAAGTTCGCCTAAAGCAAGGGAATGTGTTATGATGCCCGAAACGCAACGCTAAGGCCAATCAAGCCGCAACTCGCTCCTGCATCGCTGGGAAAAAACATTGCGGTTTGTCAGCAAAGCGAAGACACATTAAAATGCAGTCCATGTTTGGTGTGTTTTGGTCATCAAGTTAGGTTGGCAAATCTCCGAGCACCTCTAAGCAACGCTAAGCCAGAATCCAAAACAGGGCAAACCATGATCTGGTGCAGGGCGGTTGCCGCACATGAGTGGACATGTCATGATTGTCATGATATGTCTTATGCTGTCAGGAGTTAAATCGCACCATGCAGCAGAAGGAGATTTCAGAGAAGGCAACGGTCTGACATTCCTTCCTGCCCCTGGAATAGATGTGATGTGCATACAGTAGATGTTTTACGTCACATTCATTATATCTGTATCTATATCTAAATCTATATATATATATAAACACGTTATAAACACCTTGTGTATACATATATCAAGAGAGAGAGAGAGTCTATATACATATATATGTTTATTTATATATATATATATTGTACTATGGATTTCATAAATTGTATTATATATATATATTGTTATATACATAGATAGTTTTTGTGAAATATTTATATACTGTAATATGTATATATATATATTTTGCAATATATATATATATATTGTATATTTTTTATATACTGTATAATATATATATAGATATAGATATATTGTTTGCAATATATATATATACATATTTTGTAACGTATTTATTCAATGTATAATATATATATAGACATATTGTTTATATATATATATTGTAATATATATAAAATTATTGTATAATATATATATATATTATACAATATATATATATATTACAATATATATATATATATACGTGTGTGTATTGTAAAATATACATATATATATATATGTATGTATTGTATTATATATGGGAAGTGGCATGCAATGAGGTGGGAAGATGAATTTGCCACATTACATGGGACTTCCAAGGTGGGAAGTGGCAGGTAATGAGGTGGGAAGACGAATTTACCACAGGAGATGGGGCGTCCAAGATGGGAAGTGGCTGGTAATGAGATGGGAAGGCGAATTTGCCACAAGAGATGGGACGTCCAAGATGGGAAGTGGCAGGTAATGAGAAGGGAAGACGAACTTACCACAGGGGATGGGACGTCCAAGATGGGAATTGGCGGGTAATGAGATGGGAAGACGAATTTACCACAGGAGATGGGACGTCCAAGATGGGAAGTGGCAGGTAATGAGATGGGAAGACGAATTTGCCACATTACATGGGACTTCCAAGGTGGGAAGGGGCAGGTAATGAGATGGGAAGACGAATTTACCACAGGAGATGGGATGTCCAAGATGGGAAGTGGCAGGTAATGAGATGGGAAGACGAATTTACCACATGACATGGGACTTCCAAGGTGGGAAGTGGCAGGTAATGAGATGGGAAGACGAATTTACCACAGGAGATGGGGCTTCGAAGATGGGAAGTGGCAGGTAATGAGATGGGAAGGCGAACTTACCACAGGAGATGGGTCGTCCAAGATGGGAAGTGGCAGGTAATTTAATGAGATGGGAAGACGGATTTATATCCGCGTTGAAATTTCGGCTACAGCTTGATGGGCCTTGTGCCCTAAAATGGTAATCAATTTTATCAGTAGAACATGGTTTTAAAAATGTGCCCAGGGCTACCGTTTTGTAGCAAAGTAACTATTTGAAGGCTGTGTGATGGTTAGGGTGTGAAGCCGTTTTGTAGTTGCTCTTTTTTTGGATCACATGTGATAACATCAAACCTTTGTGTAGCAATTTGCTGTTTGACCCGAAAACATATTTTGTAGTTTCTTTGTTGGCAATCAAGAAGAAGACCATGTGCTAGGCATGTGATTTTTGTAGCCGGATGATGTTTGGGGCATGTAGCACCTTGCTCTTTGACCCCGAAGACAGTTTTGTAGTTTTTTATTGGCAATGGAATTAATTAAAAACATGTGCGGTTTCTAAGTAAATCAATTTTTAAATTGCAAACTTCAGATCCGTTTTGTTGCCCCATAGCTCTGGCAATCGTGGTAAAAATTCGCTTAGCCATGCTGTTGTTTCACTTTTTCTTGGTTCCGATCCAAGTGTATCCAATTCTAATATGTTCCTGCTCTGTCTGTGCAATAGTCGAATCTCACCCAAGTTCAAAGAATCCATGCTCAGAGTCCCTATCAACCACAAAGCACAGATGTGTGATTGGCATTTTGCGGGGGGTGGTTTTTGGAACCCCCCTGTAGCGGACTCATTTTAGAGCAGAGAGAGCACCTAGTTTCCCAGATGGGCTTTGTCATGCATGCGCATTGCACTTTGTAGCAACACAGGCGCGCACAAACATTTCGTAGAGCCTACAATGTGCTTTGTGGTTGATAGGAACTCTGAGCAGGGATTCTTTGAACTGCGGAATTCGACTACTGGACAGAAAGAGGAACATATTAGAATTGGATACACTTGGATCGGAACCAAGAAAAAGTGAAACAACAGCATGGCTAAGCGAATTTTTACCACGATTGCCAGAGCTATGGGGCAGCAAGACGGATCTGAAGCGCACAGCTTAAAACTCAATTGATTAACTTAGAATCCAAATCTGTCTCACATTGTTCCTTTTTTAAGTCTCTCCATCAAAGTGTGTCTTTTCAAACCTCTATTGGGGCTGGTCTGGAGGTGACCCAGTAGGCTGTACAAAATGTTTGTGCGCGCCTGTGTTGCTACAAAGTGCAATGCGCATGCATGACAAAAGTTATCCGGGAAAATAGCTGCTTATGGATTGAGGGCTGCTGAGGTGCTCTTCTCATTGTATAGGAGTCATATTGCTTCCATCCATCTGCATCGACAATGTCGAAGTCATCATCATCATAGCCATGGCGAGACATTTCGGGCTCTACCTGGAGCTCACCTTCAATGAAGGATCACAGCTCCGCTACCACTTGAAGAGGGGCACGCGTCTAGTATAGATCAGCTAGAGCGTCTTCCCAAGACAGCTTCACACCCTTTTACTCACGGCGTCTGCCAGTCGGTGCGGTGTCTACAGGATTACTCTATATCTCTCTTGAGCCTTGACCAGCATATATAAAGTGTGCTCAATACTCATGCAGTACCCACGTAGGATTCAAGTCAAAACGAAAACAGGGGGGCCCCCTACACTAATCAGGATCCTACATTAGTGCAGTTGCAGTTGCATGTGTGGTGGTGCAATGAGTGTAGTGTAATGTAATGTTGGGTAGCGTAGTGTAGTGTAGTGAGGTGGAGTCTGATGTAGTGTAAAGAAGCACAGTTGTAACTGCAGCTGTAGTTGTAGTTAGTGTAGTGTGGTGTAGTGTAGTGTAGTGTAGTATAGTTTAGTGTAGTGTGGGGTAGTGTGGTGTAGTGTAGCGTAGCGTAGTGTAGTGTAATATAATTAGTGTAGTGTAGTGTAGTGTGGGGAGCGTTACGTAGTGTAATTGTATTTCTAGTTGTAGCTGTAGCCGTAGTTAGTGGAGTGGAGTGGGGTGGATTGGAGTGGAGTGGAGTGGAATGGAGTGTAGTGTAGTGTAGTGTAGTGTTGTGCGGCGTGATGTAATGTAATGTGCATAGCGTACTGTGGTGTAATGTAGCGTAGTTGTAGTTGTAGTGTAGGGTAGTGTTACTGCAGTGCAATGTAGTGTAGTGTAGCGTAACGTAATTAGTGTAGTGTAATGTAATTACTGTAGTGTAGTGTAATGTATATAGTGTAGTTGTAGGTGTAGTTGTAGTGTAGCGTGGTGTAATTGAATGTAGTGTAGTGTAGCCAAGTGGAGTGTAGTGTAGTACAATGTAGTGCAGTTGTAGATGCAGTTTTAGTTGTAGTTTGTGTAGTTATAGTTGTAGTGTGATGTAGTGCAATGTAGCGTAATTAATGTAGTGTAGTGGAGTGTAGTGGAGTGTAGTGTAGTGTAGTAACTGTAGTTGAAACTGCTACTAAGTCCTGACGTTTTGCCCACTTTTGGCAAGGTGCACAATCCCTTGCGCCTGCCACGCAAAACGACCAAGAGTGATCCGTATCCTTCAGTTTTTTGCAAAATTTGCTTCACGCCACAACGGCAACTGCGTGCACTTTTTCGACATCTAACTTCCAAAGTGGGCCGAACATGGTATGTTTTGTACATCAATTTTACTTCGAAATGTGCTTCGCGCCACAACGGCGTGCACTTTTTCGACACCTCAACTTCCAAAAGTGGTCCGAGCATGGTGTGCTTTGTACATTTTGACTTCGAAACGTGCTTCGCACCACAAAAGAGTGCACTTTTTCGACATCTCAACTTCCCAAAGTGGTCCGAGCATGGTGTGCTTTGTACATGTTGACTCGGAAACGCGCTTCGCGCCACAATGGCGTGCAACTTTTCATCTCTCATCTGGCCAGGTGGCTCCGCACCTGCCGCTTTAGCGAGCCTACTTGTCGACCCTCCGGAGACACAGCGTTTCGCGACTTTCCTACCTTCTCGCGCACCTGGATCTTCTTTCTTCTGACTTTCTCTTCTTTGATCTTCTTTCTTCTTCTCTTCTCTTCTCTGACTCTTCCCATCTCTGCTTTTCATCTGTCCATATTGTCGGAAGTTTGACTTCTAAACTTCCTTTGATTATATAATTTGTTTATTTATATTATCCCCATTGCAATTTCCCTTACAATATCATGGGGGTCGGAGTCGGACCCCAGTACATAGGGGTTTTAACTTTTGATTTTGTAAGGAACCCACCTTACAAAATCATATCCTAACCCCTAAGGATGAAGGGTATAACATCATTGTGGAAAATAGGTGGACATATGGCAAGATGGATGGTCTTGATTTTGTAAGGGTACCAGACCCATTGGGGGGGGGTGCCAAAATGGTCCCATTTTTACAAATTTTGGAGAGATTTTTGAGCCAATCTTACACAACTTTGGGGTTGATTTTGTAAGTATCCATATGTTTCTAATTTGTTTCCATGGTAAGGTTTGATTTTATAAGGTGATTTTATGTTGTATTATATTTGAATAATTTTGAAATATTTTGAATAAATGTTCCATATCGACAATATGGGTTTTGATACTCGCCGTTTTGACAAAATTACTCTAAATGAAATCAAGCCCTGGTGGTCTAGGGGGAAGATCATGTTACAAAATCAAGGGACCAGACCTGAATCCTTATAAAACCAGGCCCATTACAAAATCAAAGGCTGTTTTTGGTACCAAATTTTATGATTTTGGTATGGTTTTAAAATGTTTGCCTTGAATTCGGGGGTTAATTGCTCTGTAAAAATACATGTTCAGTCTTGATTTTGTAATGATAACCATGCTTGGAAAGGTCTGGTGCCTTTGATTTTGTAATGATGGGTATCCCTGTCTGAGGGTCAGGCCCCAGCTTTGTACTTACAGAATCAGGGGGTGCGACCTTCACACTGAATTACAAGGGGGATTTTATATTTATTGCGTATGTATTTATTTTATATATATATATACTTTGTTTACATTTAAAATCGTTTAAGCTTATGTCAAACATACCTTTCCAAGCCATCTCATCCAATTGTGTTGTTCAGTGCTTTCCTGATGAGGTTTTCGACATGCAGGTTGAAAGTGTTTGGAGTCTTTTGGACAAGGAAATATGAGATGCATTGCAATTATGCTTGCTTTTTGCAATCCCTTCATGCCGAGCAACGGAGCTGGTCAAATAGCAGACATGGCCCACATTGCAGACCTTGGTGATTTGCTCAATTGCTGCAGGTGCTGCGCAACACAAACCACGAGAAGAAACAATTGCAGGAACCATAGGGAGCCATGCCATGAGGATGTCGCAGATGTTCTTGGGATTCTTCCAGTAGTTTGTCCTGCCACAAGAGCAGTGCTTCGTGCCATATTCTGTTGGACTCGCCAAATCATGCCAATTCTGCCCAGTCAAATTTGTTGAAAGTGAACCTCAGACAATCATAAACTGGGTTCGTGCATCACAAGATGTAATACGGAGAAAACATCTATCATACAATATATATATATACGTTTAAAAAAACAAAATAAAGATTGAAGATACTAGTAGCAGACGACTGCGTGCACCCACACTTGGTTCGGCCAGCGGCCAAAGTAATGTTATGCCATGAAGCGAATTGATGATTAAGTTTGAACAGTCTTGATTGTAGTTGGCTGTTTTTCCGCCTCGTTCCAGCATAGTCAACGAATGATTAAATGATTAAGAACATCATTCTGCATATTCGACATGAGGAAGACAAAGTACATTGTCTATTCGCATTGTGGACAATTGGATGAGCTTGCGGGCGGGGACGGTGAAACATAACTGTAAATCGGACGATGCACAATCACAACCAGTTCAGATAGTTTTCGCCATTGACATGTTTCCTACTGTAGTTCTTATTTTACCACTTTTTTGCAAGAACAGAAAAACGGGACAAAAAATCGCTAGCATGTTTCAGTTCACGTTGTTTTCTTGGATGCACATGCCTCCTAAGCTGAACTGGGCAAGTTTGTTCTAGTTGCAGACACTACAAGGCTGCTCAGGATCATTTGCAATCACGGGGCAAAGGCTTGAAGGAAAGCCGCGAGCTGGAAGGCTCAGAGGCTGAACTTCGCTAGGCCTGCCTATTCATTATGCAAAGTAAACCAGAGTAACATATACGAACCATTATAAACCATAGCAACATAGTATTGAACGCTATTGCAGTTTGATCTTTCTGATTTGACTTGCTATCCCTGTACAGCATCTTGCCATTATTGACATGGAACGAAGAGCTGCTTCTGCTCCTGCAACTGCATGCCATCCATTTCGTGATTTGTTCTGATAAAACCTGATAAACCATAGGCAGACATTGAGAGATTCATTGTATATATTGTATGGAGGTGGCCCTGCCCAGGTCTGATCGTGTCACAGGATTCAACCCGCCATCGCTGAGCGTTTGGTTCAATTCTGCTTCCAGTGCTCAAACATGTTCAAACTTCTTTTGTTTGATGCCGCAGTTGCGTCGAATCTTGCAAGAAGCCTGGAGAAGGTCCCGTGACCAATGGCGTTCCCTGCGCAGGGTACAATGTGTTGAATGGAAAAGGCCCCTAGACAGGTCAGACAGCCAGTGCAGACCAGGAACGTCCGCAGTATCCCTCTCTGCGAACACTTTTCTCAGATGCCACGATGACTGGGCAGGTCTGGCGGGACCGGAAGCCGCAGAAACATTTTCTGAAATTGTTGAAGCTGAAAAAGACGCAACGCACAATTTCTTTGAGCAGAGAGGTAAACCAGGTAAGCAGGCTCAGGTACTGGAGAAGTTGCAGGCCGAAGCGGTTACTTTGCTTCCGCATGAGGAGGTCATTCCAGAAGCACAGGGTCACTACATGTACTTCCAGCGTCCCACTATTGATGGCTACATTCAGTTCGGCCGCTACCCAAAGAATGAGCCAGAGGCAGAAGAGGTGATTCTTGACACAAGTGTCCCAGCGAAAGATACAGGTTCATGCAGTGCAGGCAGCGCAGGTAGTGGCTTTACAGATTTGCTGGCTTGCAAAGTTTCTGACGATCACAATCTGTTGGCTTACATAGTTGATGTCGCTGGAGATGATTCATTCGAACTTTATTTACGCCCCCTCGCTGGTTCTGGGTGTGCAGGAACTGTTTGCGTTCCTGGCATACGAAGCGTGGAATTCATTGGTCAAGCTAAAAATGTGGTCAACCTCTTGGCAGTCCGCACTGATGACGCAACCAAACGTGCAAATCAGGTTTTGCACTTGACGATGGCTGGCGGAAGCGTTACAGAGCACTTGCTGTGGGAGGAGCAAAACCCGGCTGCTTACCTAGAGCTCTTCAGAACAAAGAACCGCAGATTCATTTTGGCGTCGTCAAACACAAAAGACACCTCCGCTGTGCGGTATGTCCCATGCACGGCTGACACTGGCAACAGACCTATGGATCTCATTCCACTGCTGGAGCCGAGTCCCGGAATTGAGTATTTTGCAGAGCACCTGAACAGCCAGGACATCCAAGAGATTCACAGAGGACCTGACTTGAACAGCGGCTCCTTTCTTGAGTCCTCGCGCACGTTCTCTAATAGCACATTCTTCGTGATCAGCAACCATGAACGTCCAGATTTCGCAGTCTATCTACTCCCAGAGAATGAGGCTGGGATGGCTCAGAGTTGGTCGCGGCTCAAGCATTTCTTCACCCCGCCAGGTGATATGCATGTGACTGATGCAGATTTGCTTTCCAACTGGCTGGTTCTGTACGGACACGAATCTGCCGCGCCACGTATTTGTGTTGTACCTGTTGCAGAGCCACAAAGTGCGTACTCAGTTGACTTACCAAGCATAGGCGCAGTGGAGCCAGGTGTCAATGCAAACCATGATGCGGATCACATACGCTTTACCTTCCGGTCTCCGGTGGAACCGGGCTGCACGTATCACTTGGATTTAAGAAGAGGTGCCCTCACTGTTGAGGGAAAAAGAACTCTCGACGGCAGTTCAATGCATTCTGCCAAATGTGAGCGTGTAGATTTTGCTGCACGTGATGGCGAACGGGTGCCACTGACACTCTTGCGCCCTTCAAAGGAACTAGGGGCGGGTCCTTGCTTGTTGCATGTCTATGGGGCATATGGCAGCTCCATGACGCCAGATTTTCGCCCCGAACATTTGATGCTGCTCAGACGAGGATGGGTTCTTGCTTGGGCTCATGTTCGCGGCGGTGGTGAGCGAGGACGGGCGTGGCACCAGGCAGGTCGCCAACTGCACAAGTCACGGTCGGTTTTGGACCTTTCAGATGCGGTGCGATTTCTGCTGGCCCAGGGTATAGTTGCCCCTGGCGCTTTGTGCCTCAAGGGGTCAAGCGCTGGCGGATTTACTCTGGGTTCGTTGCTCAACTCCAGGGAAGATGCTGCATTGATAGGCGCTGCAATATTGGAAGTACCATTTCTCGATGTTCTGAGCAGCATGGCAGATCCATTGCTCCCTCTGACAACCCACGAATATGCAGAATGGGGAGACCCAGAGTATCCAGAGCATGAGATGAACATTAGGTCTTTGTCCCCCTACGAGAATATTGGGTCTCATTCGTATCCGCACCTCTACTTGTCGTGTGCGTTGGCCGATGCGCGAGCACCTGCTTGGATGACAGTCAAGTATGCTGCTCGCATGCGGTCAAGAATCCCTGGGTACATGAGCAAGAACACTGGACACTTCCTCGGTTGATTAGCATTGGTTTCATGATGGTTTCATGACGGTTTCATGAGTTTCATGTTTCAACAAGAGTTGGTTCTGGAAGCAAGCGATCGATTCAGATACCATTATGTAAATCATTGGTTCAAGCTTAATGATTTCAACAGAGAACACTATTTGGAGCAGATCTATTTTGTGTAGCGAAACTGAATTATACGACGACGACGACGACGACGACCTACTACTACTACTACTCCTCCTCCTCCTACTACTACTACTACTACTCCTACTCCTACTACTGCTACTACTACTACTACTATTACTACTACTACTATTACTACTACTACTACTACTACTACTACTACTACTACTACTACTACTACTACTACTACTACCTACGACTCCTACGACTCCTACGACTCCTACGACTCCTACGACTCCTACGACTCCTACGACTCCTACGACTACTACGACTACTACGACTATACTACGACTACTACGACTATACTACGACTACTACGACTACTACGACTACTACGACTACTACGACTACTACGACTACTACTACTACCTACGACTACTACGATACCTACGACTACTACGACTACTACGACTACTACGACTACTACGACTACTACGACTACTA